ATGCGTTACATGCGTTACATATATACATGTCAGTCTATGTGATTATTCGATTTCGACGTCGATACAGCATGCGTGACTGATATGTGACAATACCAACTTCAATAGGTGCTTTTGACTTGCTGTCCAGAGAAACCCAGGGCCATAGTACCAGTACATACAGGTACCGTTGCATAGGTTCGTAGCAGCAGCTCTCACATGGGCGTCGTTTCTTGCAGCCAAGGGGTGCTTCGAGACAGAGAGAAGCATGCTGGGCAGCCCGCAGTGGGGGCCTGGTTGGCCTTCAACAATAGATAGATAGCAAGCTGTGCGTTTCAAGACGATTGACCGCATGGTGCAGGCACTTAGTGCAAGCTCACAGGAAAGGTAGCAACTAGAGCTGTCATCAGAGTAAATCAGAGACGAGGAAAGGTGCTTTGATTCCTCACAAAACAGCGGGCCAGATAACCATCCTTGGCATATTATTTGCTCGCCAATATGTGTCCGCTAAACAGCGATGTCTTGCTATCCATTCTTGAGCAGGTCAAGGGCTGTTCGGCTGACCTCAAAGCATGTGCTTCGGGTAAGCTTGTAGTGCTTGAATGCTTTTGCGCCATTATGCAGTATTGCTTCGATGTCCCTTCCTAGAACTTTTTGAGCAACGTGGCGTAGCCAGATGTCTTGAGAGCAGCGCCACTTTCCCAGAAAAATCAGTCACGGTGACTGGAACGGCTTGAAATGTTTGGAAAGACTTGCCACTGCTTGTTCTCTTGCTGTAAGAAGATACTTGAAGATTAGGGAGTGGCATGAGTACTTAGGTGTGATGGTCACGCCCGGTTTGTGTGCCTGGCTTGATGGTGGTGCAACAATGTTTTTCTGCGCGACCATTGGTCCTTTCTTTCTGTGACTTAAATCTTTAGTGTCGCTTTACTAGTACAGATGCCCGCACTTGATTGGTTTAAAGGCATTGAATCAGGTTTACTGAAAAGGATGAAGTCCTCAATAATGGCACCTGGACGTTCTGAATTTTATGCTAATGACGCCCCTTTTTATCTGGCAGTATCTCGCACATGGCGCGACCTGGCCTTTGCTGCTAAAGGCAGCCTGAAAGTGACAAGCGGACCAACAGTTGCTGAGGTAAGTAACACGTGCGCCACTTGAATAGAAAGTGGCTTATTCCTTTGTTTATTAGACGACGTTGGTGGTGGTTGAGAGAAGAAAGAATTCGCATTTTTAAAGCGATTCTTCGCAGCAGAAAGGAATGGCAGGAAGAGCGTCAATATACACGCAGTACCACCATCTTGGCAATCGGGGTTTATAAGTTCCAGTGCCTCTCTCCCTACTTTTTTTGAATACCTGCTTGGTGGCAGCCGCGCATGTGGACCGCGATTAGAAGCACAGTCTAGGAACCTGATTAGTAGGTTCGAGGGATGCAGACAATTGAGGGGATGTCAACGTTGTTGATCACCATTGGTTGCCAACATTTTGGTCCGCTTCAACCATTGCAGAGACTCTCTTTTGACATGCGTCTGCGGCCCTTTGCAGGTATTGAAGCTGTTGGCAGACTACCCCAGCATTCACACCGTCTGCCTCTACGCACTGGAAGAGATTGACGTGCTGCTCATGTCCCAAGGCATTGCACGCGAGGCCGTCGATGTGAAAACTCTCCATCTTGTCTCGTGCAAGGCGCTGTGCTCCATGGGGACGTCAGGTCAGTACAACGGTGATGCAGTTCCTCGATTTCATTGCTCCCTTGGATATCTGTGGTTTCTCAATCGCGTTTATTTGTCATACTTGCTTCCTTTCGACTTTGATGACAGGCTTCAGAGGCGTCCAGTCATTTCCTGGCTCTTCTTTACTGTATCGAGAGGTCTGAAAGTCCGCTGGCTGACTTGTACATGTGTTCGGGGACGTGTTCGACAATACGTCTATGAGATTTCTATGCTCATAACGCCTCTCAGTCCCAAGTTGTTGTTGCGATAGCTTTACAAAAGAATCGTGAGATCTGACTGAATTCGAGTGTGGAAAATCCTCCTAAGAATCACCAGAAGGTGCGCCACACGTGTCTTGGGCATGGTTACAAGGGGGGTTCCAACTTGCAAAAGCCTCAGCTTGTGATAGATAGATGCTGATTTGATCGCAGTGCTTCGATTTCACGAAGAAAATTCGAATCGTTTTCTGCGTTCTGCAGGTTTGCTGGTGACGTTTTCGATCAGTCAGCAGGGCCACGTGGCTGACTACCAGCGGTTCTCCATTGAGCGCTCAGTCAAAGGGCAGCGGTCTGTCAGGTGGAGACTGCGGGAGTTGCTCCTCAGCGGCTCCCCCCTGGACGACCACCAACTGCAGGTGCATTCCATTTTCATGGCACAACGAGATGCCCTTCTTTGCTTTCAGACGGTTTCTGGTTGACCAGCTTGGCGGTTCTTCGACTCTTCATGCCTTTCTGGGGTGGAAAGAGGCGAGAAAATTTTGGGTTTACGCGCGTCGGTCCAGCATCAGGACTGAAAGAAGTGCAACACCAGAAGATGGAAGCCGGTACTCTGGAAGCCGCTTACGAGATCTCCCAAGCCCACAAAAGTAACTCCGTGTGAACGTGCCCTTCAGTGTCGTGCTGTTCACGCTTTTACCAATTTCAAGGCTTTTACCAATTCAGACATATGCTTTGAGCAAAGGAGTGAATCCTTCATATGGTTCTTCTAGGGTCCTCACTAGAACTCTCTTCTCGCATCTTTTAAAGCGCGCCTTTCTTATCGCATCACGTTTGATTTTGCAGGCGCTCCTCGATAGCGGTCGTGGCAGCCACCTCGAGCGTCTCACTCTCTGCCGCTGCCCCAAGCTGCGCGGGTGGGGGCTCAGCCACGTGTTTGAGAAGTGCTGCCCGAACCTACAGTCCCTCACTCTCGCCGACATGGACCACTTGAGTCGCCCCAACCCGCGGCTACCCCCGGCCGAACAGGGCCCTCTGCAAAGCCTGCGGGCGCACAGGCTTGCCAGCGGCCTTTCTTCAGGCCTATTGACGGGCCTTGTCGCGGGAGTGAGTACTCTCCCGCCGTCCCTCAAGACCCTGGCCCTGCGGGGCCTGGGCGCGGCGTCGCTTCTGCCCGTCGCCGCGGAGCTTTGCCCGCAGCTGAGAGCCCTTTATGTGAGTGTGGATTGTCAGGCCGGCCATTTTTCCATTGGTGACGTGGCACGAGGACAGCTTGCGAAGCTGGAAGTTTTGGGGGTTGCGGAGACGGTTCCACGCGCCGCTATGGCTAGCTTCCTTGTAGCACACCCGGGAGTTAGAGTGGTTAACGAGAGCGGACCGCTTTTGGGGGGTGCGGAAGAATGGGGCCTGCCGAAGGCAGCCGGCGGTCCAGGATTTAAAGGCGGGTTGAAAGTCAGGGATCGCCGCTGAGAGGCTCAGCGAGCCTAGCCATTTTGCCAGTCTAACTACTAGTTAATTGTGTGTTTGAAACCGGCCCAGCAGTGGCTTGGTGCGGAGAGCTTTGCTGAGAACCCCGAGGGAGCTGCCATTTTTGCAACGTAGTTGAGGGCAGCTGTTCTCGGGTACGGTTAGAGCGCTTGTACAAGCAGGACTTCGTACGCGTTGAGACAGCAAATGTAAAGAGTGGTCTCTGCGCCTGAGGAAGTTTCGGCTAGATTGAAGGTGTCCCTGATGCCGCAATTTCCCCTCGGTTTTAGGGACAGTTTGTGCATTTTGCAGAATATCTGATTTCGTTTCTAGAGTTCAGCGCTTTCGAGCATGTCAAGCCTAGCTTGAGACAGACATCAGCTTTGGGCCCACTAAGTGAGACGTGGGTTCCAGCGGGACCTGAGAGTTTAGACCAGACGGACCTGCGCACTTTTAGTAAGCAAAGAAACCAGGTAGCTGCCAGTTTTGCTAATCGAGGGCAGCGGCTCCTGAAGAGAGTGCGTTGACAAAAGTATTGAATTCGGAGTTTACATCGTTGTCTTTTCTTCAGCGGCTCACCTAGCCAACATCTTTTTGATCGATTTGATCCGGCAGGGGCGAAGCTGAAATGCAAGCGAAAATAATCAGTATGGCCTCCTATTTATGTGAAGCATGCAGATGTTGCAATTGATTTGAAGGGCCCGAGTGACTGCAGGCCCCCATACAAAGCAATCATTGTGCTATAACCCAATCAGCCAGACTGTAATGGCGTATAGTTCGAGGATCACGTACGTAGACTAGTCGATTTGGATTTGAGTCAAGTTTGTGGAAAGAAGCATGCAGACATGGCGGCCTCCTCTAGATTATGGCCATGACTCATGTGCGCATGCATTCCCCATCCTCCTGTATAAGATTCACTCAACGGTATACGAGTCTGATGACAGCAGACAATAAATGTCGGCAACCAATTGCTATAGAGCATTTCAATTTGTATGCAATCGGACAATGGGCCTCGACTACCGCCATAGTGTGCATGAGCAAATTAGGTATGCGCATATTGCAACCCTAGAGTATACAAGCAGCGCCCACGTCCTAAAATGTTGCAGCAACATGTGGCCGCAAACGCGACATGACAGAGTGACTGCCAGTGCAGACGGCATCGTGTATCTTGCATTGGAGACTCCTCGCCGCGTATAATGTTTGTACCGGGAATGATGACCACCCGAAGACTAAAAGGATATCACTGATGATTGGTGACAAGGTGCGGGCTGCAACGGCCGACAAGCTTATGCAGTAGCAGTGCTTGAATCTAGATTCGTGCATAACTTCCACATCTATTTGACAGCCGAGTTGCTTAATCAACATTCAAACCTCAACGCGCATCAATATGCCCGCAATCCAGCAAAGAGCTCTTATGATTCGCGAAGGTGTTTCTGTCAGAAAATCTCACTCTCATTCCAGTTCGTTGGCGTGCTAACCGGCTGCTCTTTTGCTTCTCTGGGGGGTTCGTTCCGGAAGGGTCCCTTCCTGCTGACGTTCGCTTGCGTCAGCCCCAGTCGGTTCATTTCTTCGTACAGGACGTCCGCATCTTGGACAAAGCCTTCTCTCCGCAGAGCGTCCGCCATGGTCCGGTAAACGATGAAGTCGGGAGGAACGCCCTCCCGCCTCATCTCTTGAAACACCTGCAGATATCCGAGCTTTTTCAAAGTTGACAAGCTTACTACGGTTGACTGAGCCTGCGACTCACCAGCCACTTTCGGCGCCTATACTTTTGAGATGCACGGTACACTTAAGCTTGAAAGCAGGAAGTTCCCAAACTGACGCAGACGACACTTCATCTTGGAGCAAGACCTCACTTCGGTTAAGAATACCGACAACCACTGAAGCTCAAGACAATCAGCCTTCTTCCCCCCGCCAGGATTCACCTCCTTTCCAAGAAACGATGGACCCGCTGACCTCGGTTGTACCACTCGTAAAATTCCCCTTCTTTGATTGCTTTTTAGAGGGCTCTTTAAGTGCGACACACTTCTGCTTGCAATCGAATTGCAAGACAGTAGCACCCGCTGTCAACGATGTCACACCTTACACGCTTTGTCAAGCCGGTTCCCTGTCACGTGTGCATGATGGAACAAGTCGACCAAAAGCGCCACCTGCTACCGTTCAATGGCATTGGGTGTTCTGACAAGCTCGTTTCAATCCTAAATACGCATGAGAGAAGTCGACGTCAACTAGTTTCGCATGTCGGCCGCGCACCTCGAATGCTTTGTCGAGCTCTTTCCGCTTGCAGAACGCGCTTATCAGGATGTTGTACGAGACCACATTGGGCGCCAGTCCCGAAGCCTTCATGGTGTCAATCAAGTTCGCCGCCTCGCCGAAAGCGCCCTCGGTAGCGCACACCCGCAGGATATTGTTGCAAACAACTAGATCGGGGGCAATGCCGGCAGCGATCATCTGCAGGAACCAACGGGCGTACAGATTACGTCAGAACCCTCAAGTAGGCACTGTATCACCGGATCGACTGACAACTTTTCGCTCACTCGTTTTTCACGATGGCATCAAGCCCCTTCTTTGCTTAGTCCCGACGTCGGGCAACCCTCTACTCACGCAGTTCCTCTTTGTCGGTGGTGCCTAGAATTGTTGCAACTTCCGACTTTGAAACTGCTTTCGCTGCTTTCCAGCCTCTTCGTCCCGCATCCTTTGCTGGAGTCGCATGTTGAAACGATATGCGGAAGCATGTAGAGAAAACCTTCCATCCGCAATGTAGCGCACGCAGAGAATCCAAACTTTTACAGAGCACGTTTTGAGAAGAATTCAAGCCTTGTCTGGTTAGCCACTGCCGGTCTCTGCCCCGAGCTTCTTCCCTTTTACACGAACCAAATATTGATTGTCAGAGATACCTCTCAGCAAGTTTCGAGTTAGTACCTCCAATATCGTTTTCCGTTGGTCAGAAAGCTGTGTGAATCAGGGGTTCAACCGCCCACCTGTCGGAATAGCCCTAGCGACTGCTCGAGCCCAATCCTCCCCCGTGCGCAGGCATCGATAACGGTACTGTAAGTATACACGTCCGGAGTGAACCCGCTTTTTGGATCCTGGACTTCGTAGAACAACTCAAGCGCCGCATGGTAGTGGTGGGATCGGACCAACGCAGCCAGCATCACATTGGCGAGGATGGCATCACGGGGAATCCCCCGCCGAGACATGTCCTCCCAAAGGTGGATTGCAATCTGTCGGAAAACGTGAAGACAAACTCATGTTTTCTCAAAAAACGGGAGAATTGCACAAGCTCGTGTTTCCTGACTGCGATGGGTCAACTTTAGATTTGAAGAGCTGAAGCGAGAAGAAACATTCAATCATTAATGCTAAATGCCAGGGCGGAGGAGTGAAACTTCATACGTGGGGTCCGATTCGCCATTTTCGAGAATATAATTCAAGATTACGAAGTAGCATGTACATTGCTCGTTCAAAGAAACCGCCTGTGGCTGAATCAAACCTCAATGACACAACGCTTGCTCCATTCCAATCGTTGCGGCTCAGAACTCCATCCTTTTTCATGCCAAGCAGACGGGCCCAGCGTTGCAGCCCATTCCGAACCTTGAACGCTTTCCACATTGATAAGCTCTCGATATCGAGAGGCTCAGAAAGAAGAAGCATCTTTCCATGCGCGCCCTTCGTACAGTCGTTAGAGTTCGGACCGTTTGAGGCGCACCTCGAGCTGTCCGGCGCGTCCGAGGGTGTCGATGATTGCGGTGTAGACGCGGTTGTTGGCCTTGGCGGGGTCGTGCGACTGCAGCCACAGGAACGTCTGCAGCGAGCGCACCCAGCCCACCTGCCGCTCCTGCTGCGACATCTGCTTGATGATCTGGCGGAACGGAATGGAAACGGAACGAGTGAGCGGAACGCCGGTCAATGTAGTGCGCGGCTGTTTGACCATGTGCCTTTGCCAGCTGCTTGATAATCTGGCAGCGACATGGGAACGGGCACGCCGGACTATATTTTGAACGGGACCTGTGAGATTTGACTAGCGAGTTACCCGTTGCTTCTGCTTTGCCAGCTGGATTACGAGCTGAGGACGGGAAGCGAGGGGGAGCGTTATATCACACAAAGACGAGAGCGGGGTGAGAAATCTCTGATGCAGAATGACCAGGAACAGTAGCTGAAGTACTTCACCCCAGGCTTGCTAAACCCTTGCAAACATGCAATTCCTTAAGTTTTCATCACCTGTCTGGTTCTATAGCAAAAGTGAGTCCCGTCTTGGCGGAATCTAATCGTCCATAATGGTGCAACTCGGCTGCGTGCCTAATTGGAAGACGAATGACCAAATTCTGGAACATCAGAGGTCAAGGATCCTTTTCGGACCCCATGAACAAGGAAGGAATTGACGGCAATGGAAGATTGAAATGATCGACTTCAACAGGCCAGGATGCGAGATGGCCGAAGACCACGCTGTTCCGAGTAGCGTGTCGCTCAAAAGGAGATCCTAAGAATGTTTGGAAGACAGCAGGCACACGAACTTGCCAACCTCCTCCCACCGCAGTTGGGCCCTCGTTGGGCCCTTCCTAATATCTGTTTACTCAAGTTGGATCACCAAACTCACTCAGCCTGAGACTCGAGTCTGGGACGATTAGGTCAAGCTGCGACGTGTCCGGAGACCCTAACCAGAATCTCTCGCCCTGCAAGCGCAAATATATCGACGACCTAAATTACACCGTAGATTCGCGCATCACAGTTTGCAACCTTGAATTGGAAAAAGTCTAACTTTATTTCCGGCGAACTTCTAAGTGAGAATCTAAATGGATCTGGGCCCTGGTCCGGGATGCCAGGAGTCCCAGGCTAAATCGTAAATAGGGGAACACACTTGACGGTCTTACCTGCGTGAACTCGAAGGGCCCTAGGTCTGGTCCCATCTCATTGAGCAGCTCCCAGGGAGAAACGTGCTGCCCCAGCAGCAACAGCTCTTGCAATAGCAAGCGCCAGAGGTCGTTTCGCATTTGCCTTTCCGCCTGCCTCTCTTCCGACCTGTCCTCCAGCAAGAACTTCCCAACCCCGGGCCGCCACACCTCCTTCACAACCTTTCTTTCTAGGGGGTACACGTTTTCTACTGGGGCATGGAGCGAGGAAGCGGGGCGGAAGAAAGCGCCCTCGCCAGCTGTCATCGCACCTCTGCCACCTGTTGCGGCATCTTCCTCTTCCGAGCTTTCATCTCCTAAGGCAAACGAAGTCAGAGAGTCAGCCATCCCAATGTCTTCTTTGAGATGTTCACTGGCCCCTAATCTTTCAAGCGGGAAAGCGCCACTTCGGTTTGTTGTCGCACGCTTCCCCCATTGCCCCTTTCCCCAGCTGGCTGTGGTTCCTTCGAGCTCCAGCTTTTGGCTGTCTATCTCGCCCCTCATCCTCACATCCTCTTGTTTTGGTTGGAATGCAGACAGTGTCGGGGCCCCAAGAGCACGGAGCTGCGCCCAGCTCTGCACCTCACGTGGCTCACGTTCCTCCGAACCCCCCGCACCGTAAGATCCCCGTCCTCTCCCCCCCACTCTTTCCTCAAACTGCCCTCTCCCCCGCCCGCCCGAATCTGAGCCATACCCCTGCCTCTCATGCTCATCAAACGTGCCTCCCCTCCCTGACCGGCCGCCACGCCCCCTGTTGAACATTCTGCCCCCGGATCTGCCACCACCCCTGCCAGTTCGGCCGCCTCGTCCAGTCGGGCCGTCAAACTGATCGCCACGCTCCCTCTCGAAGTCAAATGACTGTCCCCTTCCGAAAGATTCTTCCGCCCGGCCCCGACCTCTTCCCCGACCTCTCCCCGATGGCCGCCCGCCTCGGTATGCACCTCTGCCAGATCTCCCGCGCGCCGGCCTCCCGTCAGATTCGTCTTGTGCCTCCCAGGGCGCATCGCTCCCGTCTCGCTCGCCATCAAAAGTGCCCCTTCTTCTCCCATACCCAGACTGCCTCCTGTCAAAAAACTCGTCGACGTTCCGCATACCACCACCTCCATCAGATGCTGGATAGCGCTGGCCCCGGGGCGCTTGACCGTCTTTGCTGCTTTGGCGATACCTGCTCTCATTGTCTCCATTTTCTGGCTCCCACCCTGGCGCACGGGAGAAGTAAGCGAGCTTCTGGAGCTGCCTGAATGAGCGGCCAGCAGAACCAAGGCGCAAGCTCCCGGTCAAGCCACCACACCACCTGCAATCAGCAAATGGTGGTGGCTGCAAAAACCAGCGTTTTGTGAGTGCAAGAGGCGGCTGATGTTCGCTCCCAACTGCCACCCTGGTGCTCAACAGATTGGGAGCATCGCCCTGCCTGGGCAATGCTGGCACTGAGGACCACATTGCATGGGTGGTAGGATGCACCTCCAGCATTCAACTGCTTGCTCTTTCAGCTGTGGATCACGGCTGTCAATTCGCGAGCGCCAGAATGTCCGCGCTCTACAAACTGTGTGAGCGCCTTTATGCGGTTGATTGCAGCACAGGCAGGGCAATGTGGCAATGTGGCAAAGAATATGCCACAGATTGAACTACGTACTTCTATTTGATGTAACATGAATCAATTCACGCTCGGCCATGCCGGGCGGCAACAAATGTTCGGAGATTAGTCGAGAGCTCTTATGGAAACTGACAACGACAGTGTTATTGCCGCACGATTTCTAATACAGCCGTGCGAATTGACACAATAGTCGGTCGTCAAGGCTTTATAGGACTGCTATATTGGCATTCCCCGGGAGCTGCCCCCCGAGACGGGGCCCCGGTCGTATACCCATTGCAAGTCTGCCTCTCGAAGGCAGCTTGAATTCGTCAACTGTCTCGGACTCTGTCAACAGCAGACTTAGCGTGAAGGAAGCATGGCGGCCACTGGCGCCGCTCTGGTGGCCCCCACATATGCTGGGCCTTTGTGCTTTTTGCCCAGCAAGCTGACATCAGCCAAGGAGGTCTTGTGTGGCAGCCCATTGCATCATCGGGGTTTTGCGGCGTTGGTTAAGAAAGCGGTGGGAAACGAATGTCGGAAGTCTAGTTTTCAGCCAGCGCCAGTGGCGTCCGCCGACGTGGAAACACGAGCAGCTGAGGGGGAGGCTGCCAGTTCCAGCTCAAGCGGCTCTGCCAATGCCAATGTCATGAAGAGGTTCAAGACGAGGGAGGTGTGGCGGAAAGACCCCGCCAAGGTCACCTACCTGGATTCGCAGTACACCAGGTTTGCGTTCATCAACGAGGTGCGCTTCAGCACGGACCTGAACGCCGTGTTTGCCAAGTACGGGAACTTGGACTTGCGGGAGATTGTGCACATTCTGTACCGGCTCCAGGAGCGGCGGGAGGGGCGTGCGGCGCTGAAACTGATCGAGTTTCTTGAGAGCAGTCCAGTGTACTCGCAGCAGCTCGACGAGGCGACCTACAGGGCCTGCCTGGCAGCCATTTCAAACTATCCGCAAATGTTGGCCAAGGCGACCAAGCTGTTTGAGGCCGCAAAAAAGAAGGGCGTTGTCAGGATGACTGAGACGTACAACATGTACCTGGCTCTTGTCAGCAAGCGGGGGGCAGTGGACGTGATGGAGGACGTGTTGAAGCAGATTGACGCGGTGAGAGTGGCCGCAAGCTGACCAACCTTAGCTTCCGATTCTATTGTTGGCATTACTATATTACGATGCTGGTGGTGGCATTCCGTATGTTAATTTCCTACTATATTGTCTGCCGTTCTTCATTTGAAAGCTTGGATTCGCTCGCTGGACTGTCTTATCTATTGCTGCCACCACATCAAGATGGATCATCTAATCACTTACTCTAAGCTGGAGAGAATGCTGGTTGCAAGTCGCTGGTGGTCCACCATTACCACTGCGCAAACAGCAAAGGACCAAGTTGTGATTGCCGTGCAGTCGTTATTTTTGATTCTGCGAGTTTTGAAAGCTGCCTGGACCTGCAAAGCTCTGCAGTTGCCCGCTTGGCTAAAGCAGAGGAGTCCTATGCCAGTGTCAGTGATTGCTTGATTGAAGCTGATTCTCAGCTTCAGTCAAGCCTTTTCAGGTACCGCTGAAGCGGGTCGCTGTGTGTGGAACGGTTGACTGCTCCCGTAGCAGCCACTGTCGTCAGAGACTCGCATGCATCAGACCTGAAGTGAATTCCACGTCAACCAGCGTGGAAGAGAAATTGTAAATGCAATTTCTCAGTCAGCATGTCAAAATCTTGAAGCAGTAATGTCGGCCCAAGGCTGTACCTGGACCGTTTGGCAACAGGCTGCGCTCATGTTTCTATACCTCTGCGGCCGGATTGCACATGCGGCACAACTATTTCCAATTCTAGTTCAGCTTTGACTTGACCTTCACATCAATTATTTGCCCTCGTTTCTGCAGGCTGGTTTGAAGCGCACCGTCGAAACCTGGAACTACGTGATCCAGGGGTATGGCAAGAAGCGCGACCTCGATCGCGCGGTTGCGGCCTTCACAGAGCTGCAGGCTGCGCGGCTGAAGCCTACAGCAGAAACGTACCGCGTGTTGATAGAGGCGTTCTCGAGCGCGGGCCGGACAGAAGACGGGGAGAGGATGGTTCGGGAGTCTGGGATCCAGCTTACTGAGGTTCAGTATAACGTGAGTAACTGTGAAGTCTGCTGGGCTTGGTCTTGGCAAGGAAACTTGGAGGTTGTGGTCTCCGCAACATTGTGCAGGGCAAGGGGACCCTATTACTTCAAACAAATGGCGCACCCCCCACGTATTTGGGGGGTCGAATTGGTCGAGAAATGCGTTGGAGCTGTTTGATGCTCTCTTCTTTGGCATTCACTCTAGTGTTCCCTTGGAAACACTTTATTGGAGTTTGTGGCCGACGGCCAGCCGAGTCAAGATTTGGTGGGAAAAGGTCATACTTAATACATAAACTTCCACATGCAGCCTCTCAATGTGACAAGGCACGCTACGCAATCAGTGCCAGTTGGTTGCACTGCCGATGCCTATTACAAGCTTGATGACCTTCCTCGCTCTTAGCAAGACAAACCCTTTTTTCACCCTTTTTTGTCCGCGGCTGGTTTCCCGTGTTCGTCTATTCAAGCATAGGCTCCATTTACAGGCCATCATGGACGGGTATGCCAACGAGAAACGCCCCGAGAAGGTGGGGGAAACTCTGAAGGAGGCGCAGGCGGCAGGGGTTGAGCCAAACAACGACACATTCCTCATCTTGCTGAAAACGTTCGCTGGCGTTGGGGATGCAAAGGGGGCCTGGGAGACCTATCGTGCTCTCCGGTCGGCTGGGTAAGCGACTGACGAGGCTGGGTCGAAGATGCGACAGCAAGGCTTTTGCTTCTTCATTTGTGTTTTGGAAATGTCATCCGGCACTGAAAGTTTTCTTGTTCTGAGGCATCCTACGCACGTGGTACTCGGTTTGCACGGATTTTGTTCTGAAGGCAGTCTAATTCCTCACCAAGGGCATCAGATCCAGTATACCCCACGTGGCTGCATGGGGGCCTCGAAGCATGGGCTCTGAATGAACCGTTGCTACCAAATCCCTGTCGTCAAAAGGAAGAGAGTTACCAAAACCGCTGAACACGGGTTTCTATTTTGCTGAGATAGATCATGTTTCACAGCGCCCTCCATAACCAATTTCGAGCCCTCTTCCTCTCCTTGCCGTCCACCTGTCTCTTCTGCCTGCCCCCCACATTCCGGGTCACCTCCAGATGCGCAAGTCTTTCTTGGACTAGCTAGTTAGCTGGATCTGGCCAACTATTTCGGTAAACCCCACAGAGTTCCATTGCACCTGCTCATCCGATCTCGTCGAACCTCATCCTCGGAGCACCTTCCGCTTTAGCCCTCCCAGAGGCTTCTTCGCTCACTCTTCCTCCACCGATCCAGGCACCCCCCGAGCGGATATGCATTCCAGCTGCTAGCTAGTGCACGGAGAAAGGACAAACGCCTGGCGGGGGTGCGCGTGCGGCACGTGGTAGAGCTGCTTGAAACGATTGGCGAGAGCCGGATCCGCGTGAAGGAGGTGATGGAGCGGCGCACGTGGTCCGTCAAGTGGGTGCTGCCCGAGGTCAAGGGGATCCTGCGCGCACTGGCCAAGGACAAGAAAGACGACCTTGCGGAAGAGGTGGGCACGGCAGCAGTCCGACAGGCTTGAGTGTGGATCTTAAAGCCCTTTTCTGTGTGTCGTGGCGTCTGGACGGGATGCGTAACTTTGAGGAAAGGATACCGTCCCACTCATGAAAGGCGTAGATACCTGTGAAGTTTGAGTTGCAGAAGTACCGCTTTGAATGTTAGTAAAGATTCGATGTACTTCTTTCTATTTCCGCTCTTGCATTGCGATCTTGAGGCAAAACTGAGCAGCCTATGCGCATGGGTGGAAAGAGTTTCAAGAATGGCAGACTCCTTGTGCAGAGGCCTCAGGATGGACTTTGTATGTCCTCCCAGAAAGTTCAGGTTTTGCTTCGAGTTTTCACCATGTGGCACAGACGGGTGTAAACCGAACCCTTAAAAGCCATGTCCTGTAAGATAAGTAGGAATATCAACGAACACCTGAGCCTCCCTAGAGTTTCTGGCTGCGCTGCAAACTGCACGCCGCTCCTCCAAAGTTCCGTCCTAAATAAGTTTCGCAGTTGGTGGAGCAGTGTTACCCGCGATTGGCGGAAGAAAACGTGCTGATAGCAATGAGCATTTGAACCTTGCAAGATTCGGTGCAAATCGTATGCCTTCAAAACCCCGCTTGCATACGCTTTGCAGTTGGTTGAGTGGTGTTTTTCGCGGCCCGCGGAGGAAAGGATGCTGCCGGACGAGGAGGCGCTGGCCGTTCTGATCCAGGCGAAGGGCGCGGCTGGCCACGTGGACGCAGCGTGGCAGGTGTACAACATGATAGGAAAGGGCCGCGCCAAGCACATCACGCCCACCAAGCGCGCGTTTGGCTCGCTCGTGCAGGCCTATGTGGCGTGAGTGACCTTCCATTTCTATATCATGGCTCTTTCTGGCTGTGCGCTCGTCGATAGGTTTGAAGATGTCCGTTCGTGCAGAATTTCGGTCATTTGCGGATGGCAGTAAGTGGTTAGAAAGGTTACTTCGATTGTGGTAGGATGGAGAGTTGGAGAGAGGGAACAAGGAACCTCGTCAAGTATTTCCAGACAAGCGCCCAGTCTGTTTCCAGTCGATGCAGGGCATTCAGAGCAAATAAGTTCGCTCCTGTCCGAAACAGGCTTATTGTGTTGTTGTTTGGTGGACTTTTATAGGTTGAGCTGCTCCAGAAGTGGGTGCGGTCCATTCTTGGCGAACTTTGAATTGGACCCCTCCGGAAAGTTGCTTATAGTTGGCCCCCGTCGTACTGCCTGCAGGGCTGGCGATGTGGCTCGGGCGGAAATTATTCTGGAGGAGAGCGAAAAGCGGTCCGGGAACTGGCCCCAGGCCGACACCTACTCGTACTTTGCGCTTATGCGGCACTATGCAGAGAAGGGGGACGCACAGAAGGTCCAGGCGGTGAGCGAGCGCACGTTTTGCAGGATATGCTTTGGTCGCCTTTCGTCTTGGTCCATAGTGCGAAAGTGTTTCCGGGCTTCAGAGCTTGACCTGCGGTCGTACTGGGCGTCTCGTTTTGCATTTCGTTCCCTGAGGATTCGGAAAGCGTCCTTTTTAATATCCAGCACCCATATCAGTCTTGAGCGTCGGTGTCTACCAAAGTACCTCGGAGTGAAACTTCGCCTCTTGGCACCTTCCCTTTTCCGCCCATAAGTGGCTGCACTCCTCTCTTTGCCAACTGATCTCGCCAACCATAAAATATTCTTTTTTCCTCGGCACTGATTTTACATTATTGTTCTGCATCTTGCTTAATCAACGCTTCCGCTCGCTGATCCTGCCTTTTCTTGACGCACTCCCTCTCCGTCCGCAGTTGTTCGACCGTGCCCTCGCTGCGGAGGTGGCTCCCAACGCGAGCACGTTCATGATGTTGCTGATGGCGTATGACGTGGCGGGGCAGCGCGACAAGGCGCTCGAGGTTTACGACGCGCAGGGGACCAGCCACCTGGGGACGCTCACCGAGGGGGACGTGCGCAAGCTGACCGACTTCCTGCAGAAGCACGGCAGGCCGGACGAGGCCAAGAACGTGCAAGATGTGAGTGCTCGCAGCCTGTGGGTGTCCCGGGAAATCTGTCTGAGGTAGCTTCGTACTAACTCCGAGCACTTTAAATCTTTCGAGAGCTTGAGGAACTTGCCGCTCATTGCAGCCCACTTGAGCGTCTTTTCTGTCAGTGACTGATGCGAGGAGGGAGGGAGGTCCACCTGATTGTGTTCGCCGGCGTTTCGAAACGCGTGCGCTCTGCTATGGTAGGACCGTTTTGTCCTTGCCTCGTGATTTGTCCTTGCCTCGTGAAGGCCTGCTCTAGATGACTCCTGGTGACAGCGGAAATCCAACATATGTAGTGAAGTTGCAGTTGGTCTGGTTTGATTTTGTGAACCGCATAGCCGCATAATTCGAGGGGCCTTTCGAGGGGAAAGGACGATGCTCTTGATCGGTCTCAAGACGAGCGGATTTGCATGCCTGTGCGGCAATACCGGGCGACCTCACCATTCCTACGTCGGCTGACTCACTTTACATCTTCCCGTCGCAGACGTTCAAGAAGAAGCCCGAAACCTCGGTTCCCGCAAAAGCAGCAACTCCTGCACGCGCCATTATTCCCCCTGCGCTCGAAACGGCAGAGCCCGATGAAAAGCCCAAGGTGATGGCCGATCTGCTGACGACCAACCTGCGCGGGGCGGAGCGGAGAAAGCTATCAGATGCTCTGATTAGCGGGGGGTACCTGCAATCGCAGGAGGACTATTTGCGGCTGGCGGAGGCGATCATGGATAAGAAGCTGAAGCAGAGCGGGGCTAGGGTGCTTGAGCTTCTGCCGTACATGCGGAAACAAGGGTGGGCGCCGCAGCTCTTTGGGTGCTTGCTGACGTTCTGAACCTCGCGTTTTTTCGAAAAGGGCGCTGTGATGGAAGTTTTGTCCCTTAAGCTTGCCGTGATAGGATTCTGGCCAGAAGAGTAGTTTGACTTCTTCTGTTTCGCAGCTTTGATTTGGGGTTTGGTGCTTGCATCTCGACAAGACCTTAGTGACAGGGTTGGATGGCCGCACAATCACCTTGCGATCCTGGGCTTCTTGCTGGCTTCTTGCGGGGCTGCGTCTTGCTTGGAAACGCTTGCGTGTAGTTTTCAAGTAAGGCGCCTTTAGACCGACAAGCCCCGATATACCGACACTGGTAAATATCATCCAACGAATCTTTCTCTAGTCCCTGCCCTCGCTGTTGTGTGACCTTTGCCCCTCTGACGTCTTCCCCCAGATTCGACATTCCGCATGACACGTGGACGCACCTGGTGCGGCGGGCGGACCGGGCAATGCAAGCGGCGTCCATGTTCTATGCCGCCAAGCGAGAGGCGGGGCCGGATTGGGACGACACGGTAGGGTCAAGGCTTGCGCGCACTGCAAAATCCAACTAGTGTGCTGACTTCGACTTATGTCCGGTTACTGGCGACTGACCCTCGTTTGCCGTGAGCCTGATGTTGACGAGGGTTTAGGAAGGCAGGTTGGGGGGGGTTTTGGCTGACCGTGCCGGATTAGAAGTGTCTTTTTCGGGGTTGTTTCAAGAGGACTTCTCTTATGATCGATGTCTCCACTTGATTCGTTGATTGTTTTTGTCGCTTTTTCACTGGCAGGCAAGACCTCACCATACAGCAGTACCAGCCTACATTACTAATGTGTGTAGGGTAGCATTGCCACAGCAGGCTCTCGGGCGCATCCGTTTGGCCGATCTTAGTCTCCTGTTTTGTCAGCATCGAAGGAGTGCATTGCCAGAGCGTTGCACGAAGACTGCCTTGTCGTAATAATCTATTTTCAGGCAATCTGTCATTAGTGTGGATTGCCAGCCTCTTCGCCTGAAGGAAAGATGTTTCCTCTGTATGCGCACATTGCTTGACGCCCTTTTCGTTTTTCGTGCGGATGCTCAGGAGGCAGCCCAGGCCCTAGCCGAGGCTCGGCGGGTGGCCGGAAAACCGCGGTGGGTGAACCACGTGGTCTGGTGTCTGACGTCACTCGGGCTCTCTATCGAAGAAACCTTGAACCCCCGGCTATGGCCCGACGAATTCCGAGGTACGCCGCTGCTCTGGACGGAGTCCTCTTTGTTGGCTGGGCCGTCGAGCATCGGCTCACTGGCCTTATCCACTACGTCTTGTAAAGTATAACCCCTTGAAGTACTTTGACGGCGATTCCGAGGGCTTGGAAACTATTGATGTCGACCGTTAACAGAAATGGGCCCTGTGTTGAATCTGCAGACTGGAAACACGTGTGCTGTCCGTTTGATACTGGAAACTGAGATACGTTTTCTGCCTTTGCAGTTTCGGACGTGCCCGGCAGTGTTAGTACTCTACAACAATCAGGAAGACCGGAACAGGCGGCGGATCTTGAAGCACGGATAAGAGAAATAGCGCCGGAAACAGTGTTCGAGCGAAGCGGGGACCATACCAAAGGTGCCCCAAAAGAAAACGAAGTAGACCCAAAAGAAAGCGAAGTAAAAACGGTCGAAGGGGTTGCCAACATTCCATCGGATGTTTAAAACCGACGAGAATCTGTCGTCAGGCGATCAACCCGCGACGGTTCATGAACACGTCATGACTTTTGTAGTATGGCCGGTTGCGCCAGCCTGTCTTCCATTGCTGCATGCATGGCCGGAGCATCAAGCAGTTACGTTTGATGAGAGTGACCGTCATGTTCCAGCTCGGCCATGTTGGGGTAATATAGCATATAGCCGTTCCGACTTTCTGGGTTGGAAGCGGATGTCCACATAAGGAATAGATTTGTGATTGTCATGTGCTCAATGCGTTCGAACTTACGGTCTTTCCATCATGTTCGAATTGCCACGTCGAAGCACGCGGTCTGCCTGCTTAGACTGAGACATATTTAAGTTCAACGTGCCAGGTGGGGACGCGGCTCAGGTTAGGCCGGGACCCCTCATGCCGTGCGTGGCATGAGTTCAGATGCATAGCCAAAAGTGTACGTTGGCCTGGCGGTATCGCCATATCGGAATTTTGTGGGAGAGCAGGATGCATGATGAAACTTACATGCGCAGACGGTTGGTCCTGATTGACTACTCGTTGGCGCTGTACGCTATACCAAAGGAAGCACTAAATAGTGCATGAGAAAATTTCCTTATTACAGAATTGAAAACAGAGATGAAGCGGAAGCAGTGAAAGCGGGGATCCTAGGAAGACGTAATAGCACGCGGCAACCAACAGGACTCTACGGCCATTACGGGTCCATTTTACAGTAGGTTGGAGGAGAGGAGGAAGTTTGCTATATATCTATTCTGAAATAGAATTCTTCACGGCTGGCACATATTTCGGCTTGGAATTAACCTAGCTTATGAGACTGTCGGTTTGAGTGTGAGCCCGTAATCGCACTTTTGAATCGGACTACAGAAGAGCCACTATGCTGACCCTTTGACTGGGGACCTGATCCTGCAAGGATGTCTCAGGCAGGTCCCCCAGGTACCCCGCAGCATGCCCCGCAGTCCCCTCCTTGCGCGCTAAACTCGTCCGTTCAAGGCTAATTTTGAAAGACTCGACAAGGCAGCAGTCAGCCTGGTGCTCGTTCCTCGGGGAGTTGGTCCGAGGGGCGGACGCGGCTTAGTTCGACGGCAGTGTACGAGAGTGCACCGCACAATATCTGCGACGGCAGAGCCACCTTACGGTCGCTGTGCTTCGGCCTCGGTTTCTACACTCCGACAGGTTTGATAATTGCCAATCGCGACAGACGCTTGGGCTTGTTCGAGAGGATCACTATGATCTGCCGAGCTCAGCCTCGACTTTTTGTGCAAGCTCGTCTGATGCCGTGTATATTGGAGAAAGCAGTTCGATGATAAAACGGTCGTCGGACAGAATGCACGTGGGCTGCTGCACAGAAACGGGGAGGGAAACTCAGTCTCGAATGACTCTACATTTGAAACGCTAGCTGCCTGCGAATTCAAGGATCCAAGAGCATGCGATCCTCGTTTTCCAGGCTTAGGGGGCTTGGAGTACCGCGTTTCAAACAACCGCAAACGAAAGCCCAAGCAATGCACTCTGTACTTTGCACTCCCTTGCGAGAGCTTCTGATTTCTTTTTCGCATCGGACGCCGCGGCCTTGATCCGAGGCCTTTCGAGTTCCAGCGAGCTGAACTCACTTCGAGGCCTGAAGACCAGGCTAAAGTTCCCCTAAAAGTGAAGCGTGGCATCTGCATCCACTCTGCTCTCAACGTTGGACCCTACACGAAACAACACAAGTGCCTGACCAGTTAGCATGGACCGTAGCGACCTGCCTGCCAGCATTGACCCCTGGCAAGCTCTGCAAGGCAAACCTTTGGGCTGAGAGTATTTTAAAGGTGACTTTTGACAACCACTTCCACAATCTGCGTACTCCGCTTTAGCTCCCTTGACTGCCCCTTTCGATTTGCGCTGCCTATAAAACGGGCCACAGACTTTGGTCGCGACATCATACCACAACGTTAACCCCATTGCTTCACCTCTCTGCCTGCTTCTGGCCGCCATTTCTCGTTGCCGCGTCTTTCCCAGTGGTTGCCGCTCCGACGCCTGCGGTCTGAGAATGGCGCTCAAGGCGCAAGTTGCCGTCACGGGGCTTCTGATGGTCCTGGTGCTGGCGAATCAGGTAAGCGCCGCCATTGCCTTCAAAATCTTACAGATCCGTACATGTGAACTGATTTGTCCTGAGAATTTTCAGATCGAAAACGTTTCAACCAGGTGATGGTGTCGTGACTGTCAAGAAATAGAAGACACGTTGGGGAACTCGGTTGTCAGAAGCTTGTCAGGATATGGTCGCTTAGGTCAAAAGGGAGCTTTTGCACTTTTTTTGGATGCCCAGCAGCCAATAGCAAAGCTACGAATGGGGTCCTCCAAAGCTTAAAGCTGCCAAAACGATCTTGTCGATTAAGGGTACCCTTTTCGCCGTTCCTCCGGCAGCTTTGTATTTTCAAAGTCGTCTGCGTTCAAAAAACGAGAAATAAAACAGGAGATCGTTGCTTGACGTCAACGAGATGTATATAATCCTTTTCCTCACGTTTCGTTTTTGCAGCGCAGATTGACAAATTGTTCTCCCGTCTGCAGGCATCCGCATCGTGGATCAGCGAAGCGCTGTTCGCTTCAAACGGCTCGCACGAGATCGCCCACGCTTCCAACCAGCGCAGCCTGCTGCAAGCTCGTACGTTCAAGCACATGGTTTTTCCATCAGCAGTTGCAAGATCTTTGTTTTCCTTGTCGCCTCTTCGCAATTTCAGAACCTCGATTCCTAGACTCTCTCTCTTCGCGTGCAAGCCTGCGGAGTCAGCGAAATTCAGTTGGAGCGAACTCTCCTGAGCCGTTTCCTCATGGGCGAGCGGCAAGCAGGCGCTCTACTTGCGGATAGCTTTGACGAATATCGGAGCATGCTACGTCGCTTCTTCGGCAGATATTCAACCGCGCTTCCCTTAGTACACAGGCCTGTCAAACGCGGGCAATCTTATGCGGCTGCGTTTTTCACCTGACTCCGCTGTTTGCGCGCGGCTCACCTTCCGTGTCTCTTCTGTTTTTGTGCAGCCCAAACCTTCGTCTGCCCCACCTTTTTCGGCCTCTGCCCCTTCTTCGGGCTGGGCCAATTTGGCAACACGATCCCCCTCTGCTGCCCCTCCTTCATCGCCTGCCCCGGGACGCTCATCGCCATTCTGCTCAACTGCGAGGCGGCCCTGCCCGTTACCCCGGTGCCAACCCCGCCGGTGACTAGTCCCCCGGTCACGACACCCCCTGTGACCACGCCCCCTGAGACGACTCCCCCAATCACAA